TTTGTTGACTGTGGCTTCTATAAACATTGTTGCAATTTATTTGTGACAGTGTGGCTTCTATAAACATTGTTGCAATATTTGTGACTGTGGCTTCTATAAACATTGTTGCAATATTTGTGACTGTGGCTTCTATAAACATTGTTGCAATATTTGTGACAGTGTGGCTTTCAATTTGTGTGCATTTCTATAATTCTTTTAAAATCAAAAAGAAGTGGACTTTGGTAATACTGGTCTCAACACGCACCATTCTGTTGTCCAAACAGCAAAATGCAGTTTGTTTTATTCATAGATGTTATGGCTAGCTATAGAACAATGTACTTCAGGTGTATCACAGAGTCAACCATGGACTCTTCCACCCCCCCTATGATTACAAATTGTTAATACCTTAGTACATGTGTTTACTTCAGTCACCTATATTCATTCATATCTTTTAAAACCAAGAAAAATAAAAAACATATCTGATCAATTTATCTTTCCATAGACCTTAAGGTCTTAGGTTTTCCAATATCGATGCCACATAGTGAGTAGGTACAGATACCAATAAAGACATTTGATAGTTTAAATATTTTATTTCCATCTTAATTCTGTTTATACAAAATATAATTACATGAACCTGCAAACAATTGACAGGAAGAAAAATCACTTTTGGGAGAATCATACTTTTTATTTAGTTTAGTTGTCATGTATATCTTTTCAGTATGGTATGTAAAGTATAACCCCTGACCTGACTGCAACAGGCAGAAAGAAAATAACAATTAACTTATTATTGAAATTCTGTTATAAAAGGCCAAAATAGAATTGCAATGTATATCGATAAAAGAACAACATCATTGACTGGACACTATAAAAGTAATTACATTACATTGTGCCAGTGGGCTATCAAGTTTAAGAAATACATTAAGTTTGAACTTGAACAAGTCAGAGTTATGGATTCTAAACTGTATTAAACAAGCAGCCTATCGGCGGAGATAGCTCCGCTGTTAGCAATGCACATTTCAATTAAAGAACTGAAGATATCATTAGAAAATGAACAATATGTATAGTATCAAAGCAATCAGACTTGTTTTCAACAAAAATGTAAAAAATATTCATTAAAATTAGATAATTGTAGATATCCTCACGAAATGAACAAATCTGAGAGAGGTCCATATGTAGTACCTATATATGTAATATTGAAGCAATCAGAATCATGGTTTTCAACAAGAAGTTGAAAATATCACTTTTTACCAAAAATATTCACCAAAATTAGAGAATTAAAGATATCACGAAATGAACAAATCTGAGAGAGGTCTACCTGTAGTACCTATATATATATATAAGCAATCAGACTTGTGGTTTTTAACAAGGCGGCGAAAATATTACTTTTTACCAAAAATGACAAAAATATTCACCAAAATTAGAGAATTAAAGATATCACAAAATGAACAAATCTGAGAAAGATCCACATGTAGTACCTATATATGCAATATCAAAGCAATCGGACGTACGTTTGTTAACAAGAAGTCAAAAAAATCACTTTTTACCAAAAATGACAAAAATATTTGCCAAAATTAAAGAATTGAAGATATCATGAAATGAACAAATCTAAAAGAGGTCTACCCAAGGTACATATACACCAAGTATCAAAGTATTTTCATGAATTTTTAACATTAAAATAGCGGCCATTGAATCATCAAATGAATATATGTGTGACATGAAACTTTTATATAACTTACATGACGATGAATATTTTTATAATCAGGCATTAATAGATTTTTAAAATCATAATTAGACTTATAAATAATTGGCAATGATCAAAATAAATCAGTTTTATTTAAAAAAAAAAATATTCGGACCCATGTATATTCACTATTTTACTTAAACAAATTTGTAGTAGAGAGCAGTTAAATGTAATCCCCCAATTGATTACAACTTGTGATTTATTTAATATATACACCATTTATCCCTCTTTATTGTAAGTAACATTTCGGAAATGTATCAATTAAGAGGAAATTGATCCACAGTGAAATCCAGTACAGGATACTATTACCATAGCAACATGCAATAAATAATGCAGAAATTACCCAGAAACAACTTCAACTATTTTAACTAGTAGAATAATGGTTTAATAATTTATGTTGAAATTACAAGTGATTCATCTATGAATGTTGATTTAACATTTATACTAGCAATTCAATTCTTTTTCACATTGCAGACAAAATGCTAATTCATATAACTGATTGAATTGTCCGAACTGTACTGTGCTGAGAAAAATATAAACCTATGAACGCAACAATTTTTCCCAACACAATTTTGATGCATCATTTAAGCACATTTATTTTTCCAGTATTTCTTTGATAATTTCAGAACAAATGGACATGTTATGTTGCCCACAGGTCTATAAGCCATTAACTACAGGAATTCAATTTTTAATTAAGAGATTTTATTATGAAAATGTTAAATATATTTTGAAACTGTGCATTTTAATTAGTCACAATAGTGCTACTAAAATAGAGATAAAGGCATTTTAGCCATGCAATGGGTGACATCCTAGATGCTAATATTTCAGTTGGATATCCACATGTATAGGAATGAATAGAAAAATTCTTACTTTCATTTAATTAAGCGTAAATATTTTATCAGCTTCTGTGAATTAAAAAAATGAGTATCTGCATCTAGGTATAAAAGGTACTGTTATAACTTAGTGTCTTATTTTGAATCTATATTTACGGTTTTATTGAAGTATCAGTAATTGGATTACTATCAAGGAATTAAATTATCACATTCTACTTTTAATGATTCTATTCAAAATGTTGATTTTCTTTTTTCTTCTAGTGTGTCTTCCATACAAACAAGCTGAAAAAAAAATAATTAAGAATTACAATTTTAAATAACTAAACAAATAAGTAATTTACAAAATCAATTAAAAATTATATTTTGACCAAGCAAAGCATAGAAAACAAATGATCCGAAACTATGCTTGTACTCACCAACAATCATCACCACCAGCACTGACAAGATAACGATCATCATACGTAAATCGGACATTGGTCACATGGGCTGAATGTCCAACATACTTCTTATGTGCCGCCTTAAATACAAAATAAAAATAGAACTGAGTAATAGCATAATGAGAAGAATAAAGTTGAAGGAGAGAAGCTTTATGAGGAAAATAGGGGTGAGCGAGAGGCATTAAGGGGAGAATAGGGGTGAGCGAGAGAGGCATTATGAGGAGAATAGGGGTGAGCGAGAGAGGCATTATGAGG